CCTGGGAGCATGTCCATGTAGCATCCACTTACTCTGCTGCCATTTTAAATCTGCCATCATATTTTATTTTACCAAATTTCTTATCAAGAGATATTGATTTGTCCCCAAAGTTTACAATTATGAACAATGTAATACATCATTTCCATGTGTGCAAGTATGTCACCAGGAAGTCACAGGGTGGACTTCTAGGCTACAGGGTGTGAGTGCTTTGCATTCTGATAGGTCATTGCAGTGTCCCTCTGTAGGCAATTGGACAACGTACAGTCACATGAAATTTGGGCAACACATGAGAGAGACTCTTTCCTTGCATCCTTACCATCCTTTTCATCTCTAACAATTTGGTTGGCAAACATTATTTTATGGCTTATACTTGCATTTCTTATATATTTTAGCACTATTTATATTTCTGTGGATTGTCAGCTCATGACTATTATTTTTCTGCGTTATTGATAATATGACATTTAATAAGGAATTCTGTGTATATTAGCCCTTTGGAATATGGGAATATTACTCCAGTTTTTGTTAATCTTTAAATTACATTTCTTTCACTATGCCAAAAAGTATAATTAAATTGATCACTACTCCATTATGAAATTGTTTTAAATTCTTAAGGATTTAGCCTCCCTTATTGCAATTTTAAATGGGATATTTTCTTTCATATATATTTTTAAACATTTTTATTATAAAATATGTTATGAAATGATATTTAACAAGGCATTAACAATAATCTCTCTCTCTCTCCTCATTCCCTCTCAGAAGGAACTATTACCTGCATTAAGTGTGTGTGTGTCATTCATACCAATTCTTTAAAGTACTTTTACTACATAGGGAGTAAAAGTTGTAAACAACACATGGGATTTTTTGGTATGTTTTTAAACTTTACATAAATGCATTCAGCGATAGCTGGATTTTTGTCATTCAATATATTTGAGAGAATGTATCCATACTGATATGTGTAATTCCAGTTCATTCATTACGATGGAGGACTATTTCACAATTTATTTCCCATCCTCCTGCAAATGTACATTTAGGCAGGGTGTCTTTCTTTTTCTATTCACAGCAATGATTCTAGGGAATTCTGGTTTAGAGTCCTTTTACACAAGAGAGGCAATTTTTCTGACCGTGGAATGGAAGGGTTGTGGGTAACTCACCACCAAATTTCCCAGACAGTGTCCAATTGTTTTGAAGGTGATCTACTCCCACCAGCTGTGTTTAAGAGTTTCCTGTGTCTCACATCTGGACTTTCACTTGGTTTAATGAAACTGTCACATGTTTTCCCGATCTGAAGGGGTATGAGAGAGTACCACATTTCATTTGAATTTCCTAATTATTAGTGAGTTTGAGTCATTTTTCATATGCTCATTAACCATCTAGATTACCTTTTTAAAATGAATTACTTGTTTATATCTTTTGTATACTTTTCACTTTCTTTTTTTAAAAAATCATTATAATTTCTAAGTACCTTGCTAGGAAGGTTATTGTGTTGATTTTATATGTGAATTATGTACTACATACCATGGCGGTATGACATGGCACTTACATCCTGGCATAAATAAATCAGCTTTTCAAACTTAAATGTGCAACAAACTCCAAGAAATCTTGTTAAAACCAGATTTTCCTTGAGGAGGTTTGAAGTGGAAACTGAGAGTATGTTTCTCAAGAGCTCCCAGGCAGCAACATCTGGAGGCCTCAGCCACTTGAATGGAAAAGGTTTAAATACAATTAAAATTGTTTTTTAAAATTTTTGGTTGAATTTATTAGTGGAAATGTCTAGGCCTAATTCTTTAAATCTGTATGTACTTGTTTATGAATATTGGTAGGTTTAAACTTTTCATTATTTCTGAGGTTAGTTTTGGCAATGCATAGTTTCCTAGTACAGTATCCATGTCAAATCAGTTCTCTTAAATATCTGCAAAGAACTGACCAAAGTTGTTTTTGGAGAAACATCCATGCTGTATTTTATAGTGGCTGTACCATTTTGCATTCCTCTATCATGCGTAATGATTCCAATTCGCCCACATCCTTGCCAATACTTGTTACTTTCTCTTTTGTTTTCTGAGTTATCTTAAAACTAAAATTTATTTATTTTCAATTGCAGTGTACATTCAATATTATTTTGTATTGGATTCAAGTGTACAGCATAGTGGTTAGACAATAATATAGACAAAGTGTTCTCCTTGATATTTTCAGTACCCACCTGGCACCTTACATAGATATTACAATATTATTGACTACTAGAGGCCTGGTGCACAAAATTTGTGCATGGGTAGAGTCGCTAGGCCTGGCCAGTGATCAGGGTCGATTGGAGCCTTCCTTCCTAGGCTGGGGCCTTCCTTTGTTCCGTGCCACCCTCTGGTGGTCAGTGCATGTCATAGCAAGCGGTTGAACTCCCAGTCTGTCGAACTCCCGAGGGGACAATTTGCATATTAGCCTTTTATTATATAGGATAGTTCCTATATTGTGCTTTATATCCCCATAGTGATTTTGTAACTGCCAATTGGTATGTCTCAAACCTTCATCTTTTATTTTTTTAATGTTTTTATTTATTTTTAAAGACAGTATTATTATTACTTTTTAAATATATTTTATTGATTTTTTACAGAGAGGAAGGGAAAGGGATAGAGAGTTAGAAACATCGGTGAGAGAGAAACATTGATCAGCTGCCTCCTGCACACCCCCTGCTGGGTATGCGCCCATAACCAAGGTACATGCCCTTGACCAGAATCAAACCTGGGACCCTTCAGTCTGCAGGCCAACACTCTATCCATTGAGCCAAACCCATTTGGGCAAAATCTTCATCTTTTTAAATCATCTCTGAATGACATTTCACCTAGCATAACACCCTCTAGGTCTATCAATGACATCACATATGATAAGATTTCATTCTTTATTATGGACAAGTAATATTCCTCTAAATAATTGTCCCACAACTTTTATATCCACTTGTCTATTGACGGGCACTTGGGTTGCTTCCATATCTTGGTTATTGTAAATAACACTGCCGTGAACACAAGAGTGCATATAATCTTTTGATTAGTGTTTTGGGTTTCTTCAAATAT